ATATCTATCAAGTACCCAATAGATCACAGCTGAACCTGACTCTTTCCGGGGCCCCGAGAGGAAACCTACCAGTGGCTTCCCTAAAGTCAACTATGATTGGCATGTTACTACTGTATATCTAAGATAGAGAGAGCTTTAACTCATTAGAGGTCGGAAATGTTTCCGTTAAATCCATTTCCCCGCAAAGTCTACCCCAGGTCAATCCAGTTCTCGACTCCTCCATCTAGCTAAGGTAAGGTAACTTGTATTCTAGTCTAGCCATGATAGTGCTACATTCTACGGCAATACCATTCGGTAGCCTTTCCCCACATCCTCGTTCACTGGTTAGCTTGCCTCTACCTACGGGGTAGTCATCTGAGCCCCAATTTCTCACCTGGGGATTTACTCTCTTCCATCTCAGACTCGACTCGGCCAACTGCGAAAATGGATTCTGCCGTCTTGTCACCGCCGCTTTCCACTCACCAGAAAACAAAGCGCACTCAGCGCCGCAAACGATCGACTCGAGCTTGTCTCTCATGCAGGTTCAGAAAGGTTCGCTGCGATGTCTCCGTGCGCGGCCAGCCATGCACCAATTGTCACCTCGACTGCAAGAATTGTCTGGTAGTTGGACGCGCTTCCAGGCTGTAAGTAATCGCCCTTACTTCTTGACCACTTTTCTCTCATTTAATTTAATTTCATTCCTCTGCTAACTCACCTTGACTCCAGAAATCAGCAGGTACCGAGGAACGAAACAAATTGGTCGCCTGAGGATGATTATCAAGAGGACGACCGGCAGCTGTCGGAGCATCTGGAAGATGATGATGTTAATGAGAGCAGCAACGCCAATGGCACCGAAGCCGCTCCCACAGCCGCTGAGGCGCTCGACGACCACCCTTGGTTATCCTTTCATACGCCTAGTATCGACCCTGGGATGCTGACATTCGGTGATACTCTCGACGACGCGGCCTTCTTTGAAAATCGCCTCGGCGACAGCGAGACAGAGACCGCAGAGATACACTCATTGTCATCAGGGTATGGTGATGGTCAGACCATGAGAGGTAAATGACCCATCCTCACTATTTACTCCATAGCATCTTTGTCCTAGTATCTAACCAGATCCGAACAGAAACAAGCTCATCAGAACAAGAATCTATGTACAGCCATAGGATGACAGTCCCTTCAATTCCATCGGCTCAGCCGGCGGCGCAGAGGCCCAACATCAGCACCACGGTGCTCTTCGTTCACTACCCGTATCTAAAAATTCACAACATTCATTCAATTGCTCAACAAGATCTCAACTACATGGAGGCTCAAGGATGCTTGCACGTTCCAAGCCGGCCAATACTGGACAACTTCGTAGAGCAATACTTCAGACACCAGCATCCTTTCCTCCCGCTCCTCAACGAAGGCGATTTTTGGGAAATGTACTCTCAGAAGGAATCCACAGGCCCGCAGTCGACCATTTCACTGCTGGTGTTTCAGGCTATGCTTTTTGCTAGTAGTAACGTGAGTCTGTCCTGTAGCCACATCCCTTGATATAGAAAAATCAACTAACAGTATCAAACTATGTAGTTCGTGTCACTTTACGTCATCAAGCAACTTGGTTTTTCGAGTCTTAGAACTGCTCGAGCCGAATTCTACAGAAGAACAAAGGTTGGTGTTGAAGCAACCCAATGATCCGCCACTATATTAACCGAAGTCCTGCAGCTGTTGTACGATCTCGGTTCGGAAACATCGTCTCTCCCTCTAGCTCAAGCAGCCCTTCTCATGATGGGCTGGGTACCGCCCTCAAATACGACCCTAAACCCCTACAAGACTTGGCTGAGTTTAGCCATCCAGCACGCCAGAAGTATCAACGCGGATCGATACACAGAAGTGCCAGACCTAATAGAGATGACACCCACGAAACAACTAAAATACCACAACTCTCTCCACCGCTTATGGTGGTGCTGTGTCATCATGGACCGTATCTCGCCGCTCTGCACGCGCTTTAGCCTCAATATCACACACGACCGTTTTGATTTCAAGAACGCAATCCCTTTGGGTGCTGAACACCTCCAGGACGACATATATCGGTCAAGCGTATTCACACCAGCTACTAAGCGGCGCCAAATCAGCATTTTCTCAAGATTCCTTGAACTGATGATTCTTTTGACTGATGTCCTGACCCTGGTGTACCCGTTTGAGGATTCTGTAGAATCAAAGTCGCGATCCGCTGGGGATGAAGACCTCACTTTCGAGAAATGCGAAACCGCCTTGAGGGCCTGGTATTTGAGGGTCTCTACTCAGTTCCCCCCCTTTGAGAATGCGCCCGAAGACTCGTATGGAAAAAGCAATGATCAAGATAAATCCATTGTGCTACAGACAAATCTCATGTATATCTACTATCAGTGAGTTGTCCTGTGTCTTGTCCTTCAACACAGACTAACCAATGACATAGCACTGCATCTATTGCTCTTTGTCATTCTAAGATTCTGCGGCAGTATCTCTCATCCGGATCCAGTGGCGGCGATACAGCAAGACCGGGGCGAAGTTTAAAACTCCAGCAAAGCTCATTTGAGGTGCAAGATGCTGCTCAGAAAATCACAGAATGCTACAAGGAGTTGACCCGACGTCGCTTGGCACGCTGGCTCCCCGTATCAGCGTAAGTCCAACAAGCCGAACAAGCACTAGAACTTCCTCCTGAGTTCTGAAACTAATGTTATATTACAGCCTTGCTTGCCTAGCTACCCCATTGACGCTTCATACCATTACTGCGCGATTATCATCGCTTAGTAATGAACTATCATGCAACGAATCGGTGGAAGCCGGGTCAACTCCAGCATCAAATCAAGATCGACTGAAAGTGCTAGTTGAGGCTTTGAATGTTTTCTTCCCTCAGTACTACGGTGTAGAGTGGGTGAAACGAATAGTTCGGCACGTTGCCAATTTGGCCCAGGTCGACAGCCAGTGCATATCCAAGGCCAGCGGCAATTCCCTGACAGATTGGAGTCAGATCCTGAGAAGCCAGCCGAGTATGTATCTGAGAATGATCTGGACTGTCGATGTTTGTATCAGCAAAGGCAGGCAGCCGGAAGAATTCGACTTCCCAGCGTGGCTACGCTGCTTGTTGAAGGGGAGCAAAGGATCAAGAGCTAGGCCGCGTCGCCTGTCGTATGCAACTGAGCAAGCCACTGGTCAAGCAGGCCTCATAAATGACGACCCAATGGCCTTTGCTACTGATCCAAAGCTGTCTACCGCCGATGTGGATATCTTTGGTGAACTGTTGCTGGAGATGTTTGATCAGTAATAGATAGTAAAGTGTGACTTTGAAACGTGCTATATATCAAGTATGCTTTCATGTTCACGCCCAACCCTCACAAAATTGCAGTTTAATGAGTAGTTCAAAGGCGTTTCGGCAACTTCATCAAAGATATTCTAGACCTATCCTAAGCTCATCCTAAAGCTAGAAAACCCTACAAAATAGATATCTTTGTGAGACATTATGAAATTACTTCTCAAAGTCTATAAGCAAAATTTCAGTCTATTTGACAATTAAACCATAGCAAAAACCACTACTGGATCCATCCTTCCTTTCTCATAGTCTCCCTCGTCCATTCATCCAACTTCTTCGCCAACTCGTCATCCTTCGACGCACTGTTCTGCCACCAAGGCTCAAACAACCGATGGTAGATCTCCATATACTCTCCACTCTGCTCAGGTTCCATACCCGGACTCGCCGCGCAGAAAAGACTATTCCAAGACCCTCGATCCGCAGTCCACATCAGTTTCATACATCTCAGCAATGACAGCATCGGCAAGCTCCCTGTCGAATGTTGAACGTTCGATGTGAGATTTGTTTCTACAAGGCCAGGATGCACTGACGTTGTCCAAATCTCGCCTTCTTCGTTACCTGAGCTAGGACCGTACTTGTTGTGGAGGGTTTTCGCGTGGAGAATGTTGCCGAGTTTGCTTTGACCGTAGCGCTCCCAGACACTCGCCTCTTTGAGCGATGTGTCTTCAAAGTTTATGCCGCCCTTAGGGGACATTAGATGGCCGGATGAAGAGAGGTTAACGATGCGCACGGTTCCGGGGGGTGATGACTTTGATGTTTTCAGCATCACTGGAATGAGGTGTTCCGTGAAGACCCAGTGGGAAAGATAATTGGTTTCCCACTGAGCTTCATGTCCATCTTTGGTAATCTCAAATGGTGTAGCCATGATACCAGCATTGTTGATAAGGCCATGGAGGGATGTTTCGAGCGAAAGGAAGTGCTTGGCGGCTGCGACGACACTTGCGAGATCCATCAGGTCGATTTGCAATAGGTCAATCTTGGTTGAAGGATGGTCTTTTTGGATCTCAGCAATGGCTTTGTTCCCCTTATCGAGAGATCGTGAACACATGTAGACGTGGGCGCCGTGTCTTGCTAGATGGGAAACTGTGTAGAGTCCCCTGCAAGAAAGGTCAGAGATCTAGATCTGTGGACAGGATCATCGAAGGTAGACTTACATTCCAGAGTTGCCACCTGTGACAATGTAGACTTTTCCCGTGAGATCAGGGAGGTTATCAGGGTGAAAAGTCATTGTGTTGGATGTCTAGTTCAGTATTGGGTAAACTGAGAGAGTAGTGTTGATGAGCTGGAGTAGTTTTGGAATGATGAGCATAAAGATTTGAGAATCCATACTGGAGACCACCTCTTATAGTTCCTTCTGACGAAATTCCCAGCGAAAATCCGACGCTTAACTCCATAGCTAATTCCATCATGCCTTTTGCATGTCAAATGTTGTGAGCAGGCTGCATAAAGACAAGTGCCTGGCCAATCATGATCAGTGACTAATGCAAGCCCAAAAACGGACGAGTGAGCAGGTTGCATGACGCTAGACTATTTCAATCTGGGCTATGTGACATCAACCAATCATCTTATCGCATCGCATCTCTACCCTTGCTAGTCTGCGCCTCAATATCCAACGTCTTGAACCGTCAGACACAACAATGTGAGCAGCCTGCATTTCCCTTCGGCATCAACACTTCATAGTTTCAACATGTCGATTCATCAGCAAGATCCATGCGTTCAGCTCACTTCGATGCCGCAATTGGCTGAGGTATGAATCCACAAGATGATTCGGCACAACTTACTCACCGGGTACAGGCCCTAAGCTTAGAGGATGACTGGACCGGGACAACTGATGCTGCAGCAAGAAGGAGGGCACAGACGAGGCTGAACATGAGAGCATACCGTAAGTCGCTTATCATGATTCTTTAGTCTTCTAGCTGATGATAGGACAGGAAAGCGGAAGGCCCAGGAAAAGAAGGCTAAGGCGTCAAAGCCCGAGGGCGTCAAATCTGAAGCAGTGGTTGAATGCTGGGATATCAACCAAGAATCCATGTCCGCCGTCCCAGCATCTCATGCCAAGAGTATATACAACTCCAGAAAACCCCTACTAGCGTACAGAACCAAGAAGAATCAGTCAAATGTCGCCTTCCCTCTGTCTTCAGATCATCTCATCACACTTCTCCAATACAACGCCCTCCGAGCCTTGGCCGTCAATAGGACTTTCATCTCCGGCATGCTAACCACACCTCTTGACTGCGGCGACGAAGACGTTATCCACGTGGTCCCATACCCAACCAACCCCGATTCCCTCCCTTCCGCCCTTCTCCCCACAGTTCTCCAACAAACAGTCATGCACTGTGATTGGATTGATATGTTTCCCTCCCCAGAGGCACGGGACTGTCTGATTCGAGCTTATGGCACCTTTGATGAGGATGATTTATGGGCTGATTGTATTGGCGGCTTATATGAGGGCTTTCCGGATGACGAAATGGAAAGACGTGGTTTGATTGCTTGGTCACCACCGTGGGATGTATCAGGATGGGAAATGTCAGAGGAGTTTGTCAAGAAATGGGGCTGGTTATTTAAAGACTTTTCTGGGCCGCTGGAGGCGACGAATAGATGGAGGGTTGAGAGAGGCGAGGAACCTTTTGACCATAAGGATTATCCACCAAGTCCTCCAGTGTCTGGTTTTGTCATATCAGAAGTTTAGAGTCTTGCAATTGAACAAGTATAGTTAAGTATGAAACGTCGATACTTTTGTACTAAATAAACGAGAAGTTTATAAAGAATAAATATATAAATCTAACATGGTCCAGGATTAAAGGCATTTAGAAACTGATGTCAAGCTCAGATGGTTTCTTGCTGGCTTAGGCCACTGTATTCAGCTCGTGCCTCCGCATGTATCACAAGTATAGCCAAGTATGAATCTGTGACATGGCGAGCCTATTCCGACAACCCATTAACTTCGTAAATTAGTCTTCGGTTTCAGGACTCGAAAATATATCCTTCTCGATCCAGCACGTCATCTCCCAGCGATTTGCCCAAAGGTAGTGCAGTTCACGTTCACTAATAACACCACCCCCGGCATCTATTCGCTTTTTCTTTCCTCCAAAACAGGAGCCCAGTATTCCCGCAGCTGCCGCAACTCATCGACAGCAATCTTCTGTTTCCGCTGCAGGATTTCTTCCTGTCGTTTGTTGATCAAGTGCACCGGAGTTATTATTTTAGGCGCCCTCCAGTCTCCAACAGAAGGTTTTTGGCCAGAGCGAATTTGGCTTTGCCGGCAGATAGCAAGTTCCAGCAGCATATATGCACTCCGATGGCCGAAAGTACCCCAGTCTGCAATCCTGGGTGCAGGACCGTAGCCAGGCGGCTTTACAATTTTCGGTCCACTGTATGGCCGGATGTCGTGATGCTGCATCGTCCGGAACAGCGAGCTATCCTCGACTTTAACGCATTGCCAGAGATTCTCTGTATCGTAAGAATGTCGCATCGAGGGAGGTTCGACAGGATAGCTCGGGTTCCTTGTTAGTTCCCTGGGGAAAGTATGTGGCTTCCAGTCAACCACAAAAACCTCCTCCAAGGCCCGGAAATCCTCGATAAGTGGATACAAGCAGGTATCTTCATCTTCACAAGAGTGTAAGGGGGGCAGCACATCATATCCTATCGAGTCGTAGAGACAATCGGTGATGCAATCAACAGCCAGGCGCCGCACTCTCGCAGCTTCATCGGTGTCGAGGTGTACAGAGTTGCAAGATACTAGATCTTCGAGCAAGACGTCTCGGTCATAATTGAACCACGTTCTTGGCCCCTGAGTCTTGCTCTTGAAAGCAAGTTGGTATCCCTTCTTCTGCAGCCACGTTCGCGATTCATGAGATGTGTGAAGAAGGGCTGGGACTGGAGCATTGCTGTAGAAATATTGTTTCGGGGGGCATGGACCTTGTAGCCAGTTGAAATTCCAGAGCCACAAACGGCCATCAGATTCCTTGCAACCGGATACCTTAGCTTTGAGGTGGACCACACGAGCTGGTGTAGCCAGGAGGTAGATTTCCTGCCGGATCTCTAGAGGCAGGCTTTGGAAGTTAGACATGTCTTATACGTTTAGGAAATGGATGAAATGGGAAAGCTAGACGACCTTGTGTGGTATTATTTCTGGGGAGTTTGAAGCATAAGTACTAAGTAGGTGGAACAATAGAGTTGTTTATTAAGCAGAAAGAAAACCAGGAAAGAGTTTCTTGCGGCAAAGGCAAATGCTAAGCTATTTCCTATAATTTGACTCAGTAGATCTTTTACCAGGAATTATTTGGTGATATCTGTGCAGAATAACTCAGAAAGTTATTTCTCCGAGTATGTTTAGATCTAAGTTCCTGGGTTCTGTCGGCTGATTTGAGCTCTCAGCCACAAGTCTCAATTGCAAATAACACATCTGGATAACAATTTAGACATTGCACTATAATTACTAACCAATTGCTGCAGCATAAAGCTGGTAAGAGAAAGGCCTAGCTGATGACTCTTTAGCCGGCCTTAGAGGCATATAAAGATACTCCAATCCTTCGGCATATTTAGATCAGAGGCTTGACGCAGACTATACCTACAATTATACTTCCAGATGGTCCATTTGACCATCAAACAAACTTAGATCAGGCAAACTTTGTAAGATTTGCTCTCAATAAAGCAAAATGAGGGTACATAACTGAGTAGAAGTTAGAACATTATCCAGCCTTCCATTTGGGATACGCATACTTCCAGTCTCACGTTGTTGGAAAGTCCCAAAAACTGAGATTGTCTCATGGGTCTTTTCCATCTGTCTTAACATCTGCTAGGCTCCTTCTGGGCAGTTCCGAAAGCTCTGCTACTGTGATAAGTTTAAAAGTGTCAGCATTGAATCTTGTAGTAGATGGATATATCATGGTGTAATGATGTGTTCTTACTTGATTCGGCCAATGTATAACTTTTAAGAATTCTACAACTGATGCGTCGAACTTGTCGGATATGTTGGTGGTCGGCGTCGGTGAGTAGGTGCACAGGTGTGAACTTGGGCATCTTCCCTTTTGGCCGCCCCAATTTTGCCCAGTAGCTCGCCAAATCCAACTCCAAACCTTCTTGCCTGTAACTCCGTTTCTCGTAAGGCTCGCTGAGATGCTTTGGGAGATCTGTGTCTTGTGGTATGGGCTTTAAAAAAAAAGAAATGGACAAGTGATTCTGTAGTGCGTGCCCCGAATATGATTGATTGTGAAGTTGCGGGAGATATCCATCAATTCTTTGGATCTCCGTAAACTTGCAGAGGTTCCTGGTATCATAGCTGTGTCGCCAGGGAATAGTGTCGGGGAGAAAGCTTTCGCTGGAATTGCGTAAATACTCTTGAAAATCTACCACCTTACTTTGCCACTTAATGAGAAAGACTTCTTCAATTTCTCCGAAACCCTGAAGAGCCAACTTGACGGCTTGCGTATGACGATGGATACTCGCCTTCTCGTAGGCTACTCTGCGGATCTTTTGGGTATCTTCGAGGGGGAACGGATTGATGCCTTGGTTCATCAAGGCCAGTGTCCCTCTGTCGATAAATAGGGTATCCCTTTTGAAGTTGAACCAGAATTGCCTCCCATTTGGTGTGACCTGGAAAGCCAGCTTGTAGCCCGTTCTTTCCAAACAAGCTCGAGACTCCCAGCATGTGTGTAGTAGAGGGGGAATGAAGGTGATGCATGAGGAACGCCCTATTCTTATGCCAGGTGTTGGGTATGGTAATCGAGTGTGAACAACACGGTCTGGTGTGGCCAAAAGATAAATTTTATGACGAATCTCTAGTGGGAGATCCATCATACGGTGAAAGGACTCCAAAGCCATGGTGAGATGGTGGTTTGTGATGTGGGAGGTTTGCTGAGTTCCTCATCATGAAAGTGGGAGGAGATTCACTTTATCTTGGTTGATGCAATTAAGATTCTTGATTGACTTTGTTGGCACCTGAGAATCGGGCCGTGGCCAAATACAGTAGAAACACAACATTTCTTGTCGTCATCATATTTCTGGGTGCTTGCGTGCTTTGTGTTACCTTATGCCACTGTTATGAGGGCATCACCAATTTAGACTTCATGGCGTATTACCAGTATGAGAATCGTGAATCTTCCAAAGAGGGGGCAAAAACGTAAGGCCACGATCTTATATGACAAAAAGACGTAGGACAATACAATAGAGGCTGAATGCTTTTGGACTGTCTATTTTTTTTCTTTCGTTTTTATTTTTGGCTTCATTTAGTGTTAGGACTTTTCGTGCCTCCCCAACGCCATGTCACCAAAGCTTCAAGACTGTGACTACGAATGATACTAGTTTATCTAATACATAAAAGAGGTGCACTTGAAACATAAGCTAAGGGGTTAGAACGAAACCCGTGGCGGAATATTTTATACGGTCTGCCGACAGGGGGCACAAGGTGTGATAATCCATGATCGGCGTTTGACTTGATAGAGATCAGAGGCTTCATTACAAAAGACACAAGACATAAAACTCTGCAGCCACCTAATTGTATGTACGGCTCTTGAGAGAGCGAAGTTTGAGTTCAATCATGTATCATCACTCACTCTAATTAAAGTCTATCTCCTTATTGCTAGTCGATGATGATGGGACTCCGAGCAATGGATCGATGCAGATACTACTCTGTACCTGCAGATAGAGCCAGGTACCTGGTTGCTATGTGGATTCTTTCGTAACCCACCTGAATGACCGTACCTAATGTTAATATTGAACACAACATCAATCCACAACGTACCATATTCCGTAGATGGCGGAGAATGCAATGTCGTCATTGGCCCTGGGACGCGAGTGTAAACAAAGAGCATCACTAAATTCAAGTCTTTGTTTACAAAAAGTAAAAAATGAGGCTTTCCGAACACGCACACAGTGGACAAACTTCAGGGGCATACTTCCCTACAGGGATTAGTTAGGCCAGGCCAACCTAACCGGTGGAAAGGGTCCGCCCGTGCCTTACTTGGACTGGGGATGAAAGACGGGACGCCGGAAGCTTTAGCCACAAGTTGGTAGGGGAGGGCTCAGGAACACATCCATGGCTGATTGTTCCGGAAACAGACGAAAACAACATCGATCAGACTGTTACACGCGACATGCTCAGAAAATACTTTTAATAGTGTATCATTACAGAGAATGCAGCTTATTAACGCGTGTCTAGGGCGGACCGGGCCTGCAAAAAGCCACTAAACATCATCAAAGGTTAGCGCAATCTAGTGGGTTCGCAGCCTTCCCCACTGGAACCCAACCCCGACTGACCCTGGCACTGAAGAACTGACTGGGTATCATTGACTGGACGGGATCTTCTTCTCCAAACCCAAGGCACGGCACTCGCTTCAACCCCTGGAGATATCATTTCTTCTTTACATTGGCAACAAGCTTAAGCGAACTGTCACTGTCACCTTCTTTCAACTCTTCTTTTTTCTTGTTCGTGTCTCAAACTTGTCATCTTCAATCTTTCCTCTCTTGCTCTGCTTGTGCTAGGTTGATGCCTTCATCGTTCGCCTCATCGTTAGTTCCCGCAAGCCCTTCCGTCCCGTCGTCCACCCGCCAACGCTAGGCCCCCCAATAAACAAAGTCCACCCTCTGGACCCCTTACGAACAAAAGCTGTCCGTTTGTCTCGGGCAATCTTGCCAACCGCATTCCTCTTAAAGACATCGACTTCTGCTGAACACGATACTGTTACCCCA